GGATCAGGGAGGATGATTCAACCACTCAACGACTAGATGTCGCTGAAAACAACAAATCCTACACACTGTGCCTTTAAGAGCTTTGTATGTTAGGAGTAATATTTTAAATTCTATTCTGAATTTGACAGGGAGTCAGTGGAGAGAAGCTAAAACTGGAGAAATATGATCTCTCCTTCCAACTCTCATTAAAACTCTAGCAGCAGCATTTTGGATTAACTGAGTTTATTGGATGCCCAGATAACAAAGAATTACAGTAATCCAGTCTAGACATGATAAATGCATGAATCAGTTTTTCCACATCATTTTTGGGCAAAATGTTTCTAATTTTAGTGATATTACACAGGTGGAAGAAGGAGGTCCTGGTAACATTTTTAATGTGGGGGTAAAAGACATGTCCTGACCAAAAATAACACCAAGGTTCTTTACATTAGAGCTGGAGGCCAGATTAATGCCATCCAGAGGAGGTGAAAGGCTACAAAGTTGATCCCTAAGATGTTCAGGTCCAAGAACCATAACCTCTGTCTTATCTGAGTTTAGAAGCAGAAAATTAAGAGTCATCCATGTTTTTATGTCTGTACGACATGCTTATAGTTTAAGTAACTGGTTGGATTCATCAGGTTTCATGGATAAATATAACTGAGTATCATCAGCATAACAATGGAAATTTATCCCATACTGATTAATAATTTTACCTAAAGGAAGCATAAACAAAGTAAAGATGATTGGTCCAAGCACTGAACCCTGAGGAACTCCATGACTAACTCTCATGTAAGCAAAAGATTCATTATTAACATTAACAAACTGAAATCTATCCGTTAAATAAGACTCAAACAATTTCAGAGCTGTTCCTGTAATTCCAATATCAAGTTCAAGTCTACGTAATAAAATATTGTGATCAATTGTATGAAATTCAGCACTGAGATCTAACAGGACAAGAATGGACACAAGTCCACTGTCTGAGGCCATGAGAATACGCATCATTAGTAACTTTAACCAGTGCTGTTTCTGTGCTATGATGAGCTCTAAACCCTGACTGAAACTCTTCATGTAGATTATTTCTATCCAGATGTTCATGTAGTTGATTTGCAACTATTTTCTCAAGAATTTTTGAGATGAATGGGAGATTAGATATAGAAATATATACAGCATATTTAATATGTTAAAATCTAAATTAACCCGAGAGGCTTTGAGAGATGAATTGACAGCTCCACCTGCTGGAGACAAACTAATAAAACATCCTGGTTGACTTTTGTCACCTGACTGAGAGAAAGAAGGAAAATGAAAGTAACTTTAAACAGTTTGAACAAACCGGAGCACCATTACTGGCTGTGAGATCTGTGCTGAAAAACAACGATTTGGATAATGTAATGAGGTCATTTTGACCAAATCTGACTTAATCCTCGTTTTGATTTGATGGGTGATGGGTGGGTATGACAGCTGACCCCTAACTGAGTAATGAATGAATTTACAGTCATTTCCTGAAGAAGATAAATCTGTGTTGTCAAAGTTAAAACAAGCAGAACAAAAACTAAAYTTACAGGYAAACAAAGAGACAAACGGGACAAACAACTYTTCAGACTCTCACTCACATAATTTAGAGTTACCACTCAGCCTAACATGCTGATATGCAGAGAAAACCCACTGCTGCACAAATAGAAAATTCTAACTTCACCTAGAAAGATCCCAGACCGGGATCCAAACCTGCAACCTGCTTTAACTACTGCACCACTGTAGTGTCCTAAGAGTGGGGGTTTGTCTCAGGAATGCCACGTGTGTAGCTCATCAGCCACTCAGCTTCCTAGTTTCACACACATCACCATTTTAGGACGTTTGAGGTACACCGTGATTTATGTACATCTGTTGCTTAAAGACCTCTGTACACCCCCACCTCGGGGCCTTTCTTTCTCCGACTTTCGTACTGGAGAAATCAATTGGCTGAAGGCCACAATTTGATCATAGGCTGTATTTTTGATCTGCAGTAATAAAGTTGCTTGCTGTTCAAACCAGCCTGAATCCAGAGTCATTCTTTATCCGAGATCAACAGCAGTTCAATTTTGGACCAGAAGAAGTGAGTTTTCACCTCACCACCACTACTATTGTTAAACTGGAACTGAAAACCTCATATTTTCTCTAAACTTCACCTCAAATATTTCCTGAGACTAATTCAGTTTAACATGAAACGATTTCAGTATTAATCTACCTCAGAGGTTGAAGTAATGAAAAACGACTTGCTGACCTGACAGGTATTCTCCTGATCTGTCAAAATTAACTCCGTCTGTGGAGACATTAAACCGTATCCATCCTGTCTCCAACAGCAGAGAGGTGCAGCATGCATGACCCTCTTCATCTATAAACCCCTTCAGCTCAAGTTCATCTTTGAACCTGCAACAGAGAAACAAACCTGACTTAGTTTATTACTTCTGTTTACAGGTTTGTTTGCTCTTATCAGTGTAATAATTTGTGCTTTAATACACAGAATAATCCAAATGTTGCCTGCAATTGAGCTACTCAGCCTTATTTAAAAAAAAAAACAAAGATTTAAACTTGTATAATAAAAGGAACTGAAAATCAAGTGTAAATGTTGCTTATATTAAAATGTATTGTGAAC